TCTAATTACCTAATGTATTGTTTTTTTAAATTAATTGGCCTTATTTTATTTATTGTTTTTAATACATAAAAGTCTGTCTCCCCTGTATTTGGGATCCAGTCCTAAGCTGAGAAGGTCTAGCTCCAGTTTGTTGGGCAATTGGCATGCATCGCTTAATAGATCAATGTGTTTGAAAGATCAAACCTTTGTTTTCCTCAGCCATGTCATCTTTCACCCACCACAGTAGGCAGACAGTAGTCAAAAACAAAGTGTCAGAAACAAATAAATGGTGCTAGGGCAAATTTTGGAAGCTATATAATCAAGGCAATAAACTGACTTGGGGGGGAGGGGAACCTGGATTTAGAGTTAGTATATCTAAGTTCAAATCTTGGTTTTCCTATTTACTATTTACTGTGTAACTTTCGGTGAGAGACATCATGGCATAGCAATAGCATGCTTCCTGGGGTCAGGAAGACCTGAATTCAAATCTCATTTCTGAGGCTTACTAGACTTTGTGGAAAACACATCTCTGAGCTTCAGGAAACCTTCTAAGACTTATCTGTTAAGTTATAGGCAACTTCTAATCTGTTAATAGAGTAAGTTCCAGATCTTTGAGGCATTGATAAAAAGTCTCTGTGCCTCAGTTTCCTCATCTATAAAATGAAGGAGTAGAACTTTCATGATTTCTAAGACTCTTTCCAATTCTAAAACCTATGATCCTAAGGTGAAGGCTATCTTCAGTAGTCAAGGGGACAAAATTATCTTGTCAAGACTGAAGCTATGTCTCCACACACAATGGAACACGGAAAATTGAGACAATTATCTGAATAACCTAAGTAAAACCAAAAAAAAAAAAACTAGGACTTTTTCTTAATTATCTTGCTACTTCTGGAAAGGGAAACTATACTACAAAGCTTTAATCATCAAAACAATTTGGTACTGGTTAAAAAATAGAGAGGTTGATCAGTTGAACAGATTAAATATACAAGATCCAGAAGCAAATGAATACAGTAATCTACTGTTTAAACCCAAAGATCCCAACTACTAGAGTAAGAACTCACAATTTGACAAAAACTTTCAGGAAAACGGGAAAAGTAGTCTGGCAGAATTGGGTATAGACCAACATTTCACATGGATACTTGACTTAGACATACCGGGTGACATCATAAACAAATTAGAAAAGCAAAGAAGAAATCACCTGCTGGATCTATGGATAGAAGGAAAATTCATAATCAAATAAGAGACAGAAAGGATCACAGAAGGCACGATGGACAATTTTGATTACTTAAATTAAAAGAGTTTTTGCACAAACAAAACTAATTCAGCTAAAAATAGAAAAGAAGCAGGTAAATGGGGGGAAATCTATGCAGAAGTTTCTCTAATAAAAATTTCATTTCTAGAATATATAGGGAACTGATTCAAATTTATGAGAATAAAAGCCAGGGGCAGCTAGGTGGCACAGTGGATAGAACTCCAGCCTCGAAGTCAGGAGGACCTGAGTTCAAATCTGACCTCAGACACTTACCACTTACTAGCTGTGCGACTCTGGACAAGTCACCTAACCCATATCACCTCCAAAAAAAAAGAATAAAAGCCATTCCCCTTCGATAAATGGTCAAAGTCTATGAACAGGTGATCTTCAAAGGAAGAAGACAAGCTATCAATTACCATATGAAAAAATACTCTAAATCATTGATAGAAAAATTCCAATTAAAACAACTCTGAGATTCCACCTCACACCTATCAGACTGATAAACTTTAAAAAAAAATGAAAATGACACATGCTGGAAGGGCTTTAGGAAAGCATGTATGTTAATGCACTATTGTTGGAGCTATTCACCGCTCGAGCCATTTTGGAAAGCAGTTTGGAACCATGCTCAAAAAGCTATTAAGCTGACCTTATCCTTAGACCCTGCAATGCCACAACTAAGTCTATATCACAAAGAGATTAAAAATAGAGGAAAGGGGCTCACATGTGCAAAAATATTTATAGTAGCTCTTTTTGTGGTGGCAAATAGTAGGAAACTGAGGGGGAATCCATCAATTAGGAAATTATTGAAGTTATGGTATTTGAATGTGACAGAATAGTATTGTGCTGTAAGAAATGATGAAGGAGATGCTGGAAAAAAATCGTATGAACTGAAGAAGAATAAAGTGAAGAAAATGTGAAAATAATTTATACAATAACAACAATAATGTAAAAACAAATAACTTTGAAAGACTTAAAAACTCTGATCAATGCAATGACCAATTATGAATCCAAAGGACCCATGATGATACATACTACCTACCCCCTTCAGAGAGGTGATAGACTCAGTTTGTTTTGTCTTGCTTGACTATGCATGTTTGTAACAGGAATTTTATTCTTTTGTTCTCAATGAGAATGAGAGGTAAGGGTGATGGAGGAGAGAAAAGGCAGATTTTTGTTGATTAAAAAAATTTTAATTTAAGATAAAAATAAATTTGAAAAGTTTCAAATAAATTATTTGACTGCTTCTGGAAAGAGTTTGAGTTGTCCAGATAAACAATTCAATTCTCAATCCATTAAGCACAGTAAATATGACCCCAGTGGTGGAGACCAATTTTTTAGATCACAATGTAAGTCTTGATTAGGTTCTTTTATGGACTCGGTTATCAGTACTAATAGGAAAAACAGTACTGAATTATTAGAATCAGTAGATAAAGCACTACTCTCTTCTATTAGTCTGAAGAAACCAATTCTCAGAATATGCTGGACAGAGGATAGGGATCTTGGGATGGATGAAACTAAGAAGCTACAGGTCCAAGGCAGTGATTAAGGAGCCAGCTGGCAGGTGATGAAGGTGAACCTAGGATTCAGGTGAGCTTCAGGGGGATAAGAAGCCAACTATGACAATTCCTGAGAATATTAGTAACAAAAGAGATCACTCAAAATATTTTATAAAAGATAGAGAGCAAGAGGATACTTATAATCCTAGACGGATTTTGTTCTTTTCTCCTCAAAGCCAGGCTACCCATCTATCAAAATAAATTGGAGAATTGAGGCAATTATTCAGGTAACTCAGGAAAAACAAATGTTCTTTTATTAGAATTATCTAGGAGTATATAAGGAAGTAACCAGAGTTCCTTGATAGCAAGAATTGTCCAGTTTGTATTTTTGTATCTTCAACACTTGTCAAATTGCCTTGTACATAGGTATTTACCAAATATTTATTGACTTTAATTAGCTGAATTATTTGAATACCTCTATGCTTGGCCTTGCTTTGCTAAAGAAAGACTGGCCTCTGATTTTAGACCATTCTTTCTTTTTTGCAAACAATTAAATTTTATTTAAACCTTACAAATTTGCAGAGTAGAACGTTATTATTGTAAGATCTATGGCAACAGTGTACAAATAGCAATGTACATCATCATACAAAGAGCAAATAATCAAGCAAAGTGTTATATAAAATATGACTTATAATCACCTTTGAAAAAAATTAGCTCTAACTATTCATAGAAAAACAAAAGCTAAGCAAACATAATGAAAATATGGCAATTGGCATATTTTCTAAACCATGTTGTTTAAAATCACATCAATGATATTATGCTGGACTTTATTATCTGTTACTGTCAAGAGTGTAAAGGAAACTTTTTTCTCATGATTTACATATCATTTCATTGAGAGAAATGATTGTCTCTCTCATCTTCATAATCAATTGTTGAATTAGGACTAGGATTTTTTCAGAAGCCTGTAGGTTCAGGCTCTGAAGGGCATTGCTGGTTCAGATCCCACCCCAACTTTACAAGAAATTTAATCTAAGATGGGGAAGGCCGTTGTGCTCCTCACAGGTTCAAGTAGAGATAAATTCTTTGATTAGATTGCCCAAGGCTGGGCAATTTAGAAGTAAATGACATAACCAAGATTACTTCCCCAACCCCTCATTGGAAGAGGTCCACCTCTCATTGTAATATTGAGTCTCTTTTTTTAATTTTTTAATCTTTTTGTTAATTTTGTTAATTGTTAACCAGTTAGAGTTGATCACCACTGTTAGAAACACCCAATCTTCCAAGGGCATATAAACTATGAGCCCATCACCATGATTGGTCTTTGGCATTTGAGAGTATCACTGACCCTTTTATTAATAAAATGCTAGCATTATTAATAAAGTGATTAATTATCCAGAAATTATGTCTCTCCAACTTTTTAAAAGTCTCACAAGTACACATGCATTGTTGAGACCTGGATCTAAGGAAATGGGCATCTTGACTATTATTCCCCCTGTACATGGTGGTGTCATTTAGGCCATTCTCTTGCTAAATTTCTCCAGAAAGACAATGTAAATGCTATCAGTCTGAAGATATTTCTAAAGTGCTCAAAAGAAGATCCAGTTGCACTCAGAGACAGAATTATAGTGGGATGACTGGGGCTTTGCCCAAGAGCACTGAATTTTAAAGGGTACTTTGGGGACTTGCGCTCCTCCTGCAGCATAGTTTACTACCCATTTAGCAAAAATGAGTTAAAATAGGAAGCTACCTGATAGATAGCATACTGTATCTTCCCCCCAAGTGACTGCTTCCCCAAACTGCCTTGCCTTCCCCATATGGTAGCCTCCCCAGCCAATGACATTTTATATAAGACAGATGTAGTAAAACAGGAAAACAGAACCTTATATTATGATACTACTCAGATTCCTCTCACATGAGGAATCACCAAGTCCTTTTGGCTCTACAGCAAGTATTGAGAACCTATTGTCTTATACTAAGTGTTGTAACTGAAGGTCCTTGGGGGTGATCCAAGACAGTTTTCCAAATTTCTAAATTACTCAATTTCCCCCAAAGAGCCCAGAACAAGGTAGAGAGCTTCCAGCAGATCATATTTTAATGAAGTATGAACAACAAAGCGTTAAGTTTGTGAGAAGTTAAAAAAAATCATTTGTCTCCTAGAACTAAGAGCTGAAAGCAGACAGGTTGTCTTTTATCAACCTCAAAGCCCTGTGATGTGTACTGTAAATATGGAGTACTTTATAATTACCGCCTTTTGGAATCTTTAGGACTGAGCGATGCTCATGAAGTCCTGGTGCTTTCTCTGGCTGTTGGAATGCCAGGTGGCTCTGGCCCAGATTGTCTGCGGGGGGAAAAGAAATGGAGCTAGGAGACCAAAGGCTAAACAAGTTTTGTCAAATAATGTTGAAAAACTCCCTGGTTTCAGTAACAAAGGTAAGTGGGCTTCCTTCAGTCTCTATGAAATATAATCTACCTTTCTATTCCACATATCCTTTTCAATATTTCCTTATGGATTTCAAAAGGCAACCCTGTATATAGCAATTTGGTCCAGAATTGTGTCAAAATTAGGAATGAGTCTCAGGATAGAAAAAGGATAGGGAAAGGTAGATGTGGGGAAAATACAGTTATAATCAGAGTCATAACTAGGGGAAAGTGGCTGGCGCATGATCTTCAGGGTGCCAAAATTTCAAGTGTACTGTTAGCACTTGAAATCCCTCAACAGCATAGAAAGAAATTAGTTTAACACCTAATTCATAATAATAGTAGATTAAAATGAGTGCATTGGACTAATTTAAGTGAGTGCTTTCATGAGCAGCCATCTCATACTGCATGCAGTAGCCTCCACACACTTAACATTTGAAGACATGTTTTCAGGGGAAGCTAGGTGGTACAGTGGATGAAGTGCCAGGCCTGGAATCAGGAAGACTCAACACATACTAGTTGTGTGATCCTGGGCAAGTTACTTATCCCTGTTTGGCTCAGTTTCCTCATCTGTAAAATGAGCTGGCAGAGGTGGCAAACCACGCTATTATCTTTTCCAAGAAAACCCCAAATGAGGTCACAAAGAGTCAGACACAACTGAAAAACTACTGATTTTCACGGGTACAAAAATATTAGCTACTCTAATGAAAACATTAGTTACAGTTACAAAAATATTTGTTACAGTTTCAACTACAACTGAAAAATCAATCCATGGTAGGCCTGGCTTCTCCCCTGTATCAAAGCAATTTTCCGGAGTCAGAAAGGTTTTTTGCGTCCTAACCCCAATGGAAAGGAGTATTTGTGATCAGACGTATGAAACATGTTATTCAGTCGTTTCAGTCATGTTCAACTCTTCGTGAACCCACCTGGGGTTTTCTTGGCAAAGATACTGGAGTGGTTTGCCATTTCCTTCTCCAGCTCATTTTACAGATGAGGAAACTGAGGCAACCAGGATTAACTGACTTGCCCGGGGTCACACAACCAGTAAGTGTCTGAGGCCAGATTTGAGTTTAGGAAAATGAGTCTTCTGACTTCAGGACCAGCACTCAATCCTCTGTGCTACCTAACTGCCCTGTATAAAACGTAGTATCTCACATCTGATCCATTTGACAACATCTGAAGTAATCTTTTGGAATCCACTTTTGAACTTTTAAAAAATAATCAATGTATTTTTATAGCATAGCTGAACAATTATGTTTAACAATTATTCCACAGATAAAGACTGCATCCTAGAAATGGCCTTTTTGCTTGATAGTTCTGAAGATGTGGGCAGTTATTATCATGAGCAACAAAAGAAATTTGTGCTGGAAACAGTGAATAAGATGAAAGGTCTACAACTAACTTCTGGGCATACCCTCCAATGGAAAATGTCCTTACTGCAGTATAGCAGTATTGTCCTCATGAAGCAGACCTTCCACAGCTGGGAGGGTCCTGAAGACTTCCAGAGTCATGTTGCATCCATCACACCCACTGGTCCTGGAGCATATATGACTTATGCCATAACTAACTTAACATGGCTGTATAAGACAGAAAGTATTCCTGGCAGTGCCAAGGTTGCAGTGCTCTTTATAGATGGAGCTAAACAAGCAAGAAACACAGATATTTCTGCAGCTTCTAGGAAGGCTAAAAACCAAGGCATCGTCTTCATCATTGTGGGATTATCCAGTGTCGCTGAAGAGACAGCCAGTGCTGCCATACTATATCACCTTGCCAGGGTCCCTGCCTCACAAGCTATCTTTAGTCTACAGGAGAAAGAAGTTGTGGAAAAGGTTCTTAAAAAAACAGTATGTTCCAACCTTACTCTTTTTTCAATATATTGCCCAATATATTTACCAATTAAAATAACAAAAAAAAGAAAACCCTCTAACACAGGAGTTTTTAACATGAGGTGCACCAACTTGTTTTTTTAATATATTTTAATAACCATATTTCAATATAACTGATTTCCTATGTATTACTATTTTAGTAATCCTGTTTTGTATTATGCAATTTAAAACCTTATTCTGAGGAGTCTATAGCCTTCCCCAAACTGCCAAAAGTGTCCATGACCTAAAGAAATATTATAAACATCTACACTAATAAAAGCCACCTTGTGGTTTCTTAGCATAGGTATATAAATTTTGCTAATGAAATCAGTTTTTAAATTAATATGCTGTTGATGAAGGCTTCAGGCCATTGGTTCCAGATTAGTTTACAATACCAGGGAGCATTCGCTTAGTCGGCCTCCTCTTAGAAGAACTTTGTCCAGTCTCAAATGCCTCTGTGTAACAGTTGGGAGCCCTGTCTGCTTATTTCTTTCAAAGTTTCCATTTATTTCACATCTAGCCCTGCAGACGCCTGTGTGATAATGCACACTCACGAGATACAAAGCTGATGGGCTTTTCTTTGCAGCTATAAACTATGTTAATTTTACCCTATTGCTTGCCAAGTGAGAACAATATCAGTTATTATTTTAGCAGAAGGCAGAGACCACATTTTTTAGTTTTATAATCATCTACTTAATAGGGTGTATTTTTTTCTTTAAGTGGATAATGGCCTATTATTCTAAATTTTTTTATATCATTTTTTATATTCACAGAAAGAACTGACAGAGGAAAAGGTAAGTATTATTTATATTAACTTGGTAAATAGTTATTGTTCATTCACATGCATAAGAAATTATATAATATACATATGTGTGTATTTACATATATATGTATATACACACACATACATAAAATGCTTTGCAAACCTTAAAGCCATTATATAAATGTTTAGATATCACTATTATTGCAATTTCTCTATATTTTTGTTTTCCGTATGGTATAGTAGAAAAGGTAATTTATTCATTGAGTCAGGAGAACTGAATTATAGTTTTGTTTCTGCCTATAAACTAATCATAACCTATTACAATCATAACTACTACTATATACTACTTATATTCTAGGTTTCAATTGTCTTATCTATAAAATTTCAGAGTTACAATTTCATTCTAAGCCTTTTCCATTTATATCTGGAAAATGGAATGTTTATGAATTCCATTCCATATTTTCAACTTTCAATGGACATTTCAAACTTGATGTTCTATAGGCTTCTCACACTTGACACATTCAAAACAGAACACATTATTTTTCCCTTTAAACCTGCTCCTCTTCTGAATTTCCCTATTTCTGTTGAGGACATCCTTCCATGATCTCAGGTTGCAACCTCAGCATTATCCTTGACTCATCATTCTCCTGCATCCTGCTTATCTATCCAGTTGCCAAATCTTGTCACTCCCACATTTTCAACATATGTCATAGCTGACCTTTTCTCTCTACTCACTGGGCTTTATTACCTCTTTCTTGTTGTTTGGTTAAGTCATGTCCAACTCTTTGTGACCCCCTTTGGGGTTTTCTTGGCAGAGATACTAGAGTGGTTTGCCATTTCCTTCTGCAGCTCCTTTTACAGATGAGAAAACTGCGGCAAATAGGGTTACATGACTTGTCCAGGGTCACATGGCTAGTAAATGTCTGAGACTGAGTTTGTACTGGGGTCTTCCTGACTCCAGGCCCAACTGTGTATCCACTGTGCCACCTAGCTTACCCTCATTACCTCTAATCTGAACTATTGTAAGAGTTTCCCAATTGATCTATCTTGTTTCTCCTATCTCCAATTCTTCCTTCATGTTTGCCAAAGTGATTTTCTTGAAATGTGAGTCTAACTAACCATGTCACTCCCCTACTCAATGGCTGGCTCCCTATTGTCTTTAAAATAATAGTAATAATAAACATTTATATATTGCTTACTATGTGCCAAGTGATTTACTTGATCCTCACAACAACCCTAAATAATAGGTAGTTGCTATTATTATTCCCATTTTACACATGAGGAAACTGAGGTAAACAGAAGTAAAGTGACTTACCCAGGCTCACACAGCTAGTAAATTTCTGAGGCTGACTTTGAACTTAAGTGTTCCTTACTCATGCCTTACAGGAGCTACCTATGGGCAGCTAGGTGAAGCAGTTGATAAATTGCTGGTCCTAAGGTCAGAAGACTCACCTTCCTGAGTTCAAATCTGACCTCAAACACTTACTAGTTGTGTGACCCTGGGTAAGTCACGTAACTGTTTGCCTCAGTTTCCTTATCTGTAAAATGAGCTGGAGAGGGAAGGGCAAACTACTTCAGTATCTTTACCAAGGAAAACTCCAAATGGGGTCTTGGACACAACTGAAAATGATGGAACAACCTCCTTACCCCAGGCCTGCATTTTATCCACTGCACCACGTTGCATCAAAGAAAATATAAGCTTCTCCTTTGGCATCTAAAGTCCACAGCCTGACCCCAACCTGTCTCTCCAGATTTATGAAATTATTTCTCCCCTTATGACTCTCTATAGGCCAAACCAACTGGCCTTTTTTGCTGCCCCTCACTTAACACACCCTCTCCTGTCTCTGTCTTTGCATTGGCTAGTCCATATTCCTAAAATGCACTTCTTCCTCACCTCCACCATTTGGAATCTCTTATTTCCTTCAAGATTTGGCTTAAGTGCCACCTTCTGAATAAAGCCTTTCCTGATCATCCTTTCTTCCTCCTACAATCCTATCTCCAGGAGTGTGCTAGTAACTATTTAACAACCAGCCCTCAGAAAATACAAGGAATATTTTTAGGTTTAATCTACACTATTAATATTTTCTCCATCACTTTCTTAAGTCTAGACAATCAACAAAACAATAAGACACTTCTGATTTATAGCACTTGCCAATTACCAAGGCATAAATGATCACACTAAAAATTTAATTGTTGGCTATCTCAAGCTAGTATAAGCTGGCTCCAGCACACGCCTGCCTCCCTCCCCAGATTACCTATTTATTTTGTATATATTCCTATCTGTATGTACATGTCTCCCCTTTACTATGTAAACTCCTTTTTTTCTTTATACCTCCTGCACCCAGCACAGTGTTTATGCTTATTTATTGGTTGGTTATTGGTATGCTTATTTATTGGTTGATTATTATTGTAGTTCTTATTGATTACAGTTTTGCGATCTTCTAACATTCAAACAAGAGGTAAGGTGACGTAGTGGATAAAGGACTAATCTTGTATTTAGGACTTTATATTCAAGGTCTTCCTCTGACCTAGGGGCCCTGGAAAATTCACTAAACCTCTCGATCCCCTCAGGCAACACTAAACACTAAGACTAAATGTTTGACATTGCTGCCGAGGGAGTTTCCCTACCAGGAGTTCCCGATTCTGATGAAATTGGAGCTCCAGGTCAAAAAGAAATCTTTTTAAAATATTTCTTATTACTTCACAAAACTGTAATGAAACTTATTTACTCTTTAATTTGGAAAATAATTGCTTTCAATACAAAGAGTCAAGTAAATATGTTGTCTAATTAGCATGGTACCAGAAAATAGTTCTCTTTTGAAGCAGCCAATTTACAGATTTAACAGCTTTCTGAGTGGGACCTTTCACAGTTCATTCTTTTGCTAAATGGGGCTGATACAAATAAAATTTATTTTTTCCTTATAATGCCTGAAATTTTTAAGTGTACTCATTGACTTTTCTTGGTTAATTGCTTTTAACTTCTGGCTGACTTTTAAAAGGCTTTTCTCTTGTTTGCAGATTCTGTGTTATAACTGTCCCTTTATTTTCTCCTTACCAATTCCATTTAAATGTTCTGATTGACATTGGTTGTTTTTTTTTTCAGTGCCTTCAAACTTCTGCATGCTTGTGTGAGAAAGGGGAAAGAGACTTTCCCTGCCCTGTAAGTAATTTTTAACTTTTTGTGTTCTTCTGCTTTTGTATTAAAAATAAGTCTAATTAAGCCAGTTCCTTTTGGATGGTTATTATTAGTAATTAATAGCTATTATTACTAGGAAACAGCACTACACAAAGTGAAGGGAATACAGAACAATTTTCCAGGCTAATTATCCAGTCCGGATGGATATTTGTGTTCCACAAGTGAATTTTTTGGCCTGAATTTGTGTAATTAATTGCCTACATTGATAACGAATCAAGAAGATTTTCACTGAATCTCCTTTTCACTTTTGTATTGTATAGACAAGACAAAGTTTAGGTTAATATACCTCATATAGAAAACTCTACTAATTTGGCTTTTGTGAGCATTTGAAAAGGCTGAAGTTTACCTCTGAATTGTAAATTATTTCTGGGGAAATATTTAAAAAGCTTAGGAGAATAAATTTTCAGGTACCTGCAAGTATTTTAGAGTCATCATTTACATACCAATAAATATTATACACTCTAGGCACTGCACATGAATAATAAGCCAGACTCAGAGTTAGTTGGAAGAGAGCATGGTATAATGGTGGTATAATGTTCACCTGCAGGTACAATTTTCAGAGCTTGCAAGTACCTTAATGAAGCAGTATAGAGTGGACAGAGTGCTAGATTTAGGACTAGGCAGACGTCAGTTCAAATTCTAGATACTAATTAGCTGTGTGATATGGGTCAAGTCACTTAACTTCTCTGTGCCTCAGTTTCCTCATCTATAAAATGAGGTGGGTGGATTCAGTGGCTTCTAAGTTCCCTTCTAGCTCTGCATCTATGATCCTATAATCCTTTGGATTATATTAAAGTACACAGCACTTTCAATAATGCCAAGCTGCCTCCTGACATAAAAACCCATTGTTTTGACACCAATTTTCCTTCCACAACACATTGTATTCCATTACTTCATCATGCAGTGAGGGTGACCCTAGGTTCCTGAAAACTAAAACAGCAAAGCCCAAGCTCTGGTAAGATCCGCCATCTTAGAAAGGCTTTGTGGTGCAATCCCAGCAACAGACTCCACCTTCTTTCTAAGGAGCAGCCTAACTAAGTACAAAGAGGGTGACCACTGGATGGAATTTTTGGCCCTGGTTACATGTGATACTTGGATTCTTCCACAATTCTGTGGTCTCATTGATGTGAGTACTCTCTCCAATGCTGTAAATCTCAACTAATCCTCATCCTATGTAACTTTTATCCATGTCTTCCCAAAAATCCTCCATGGGAAGTGCTAATTAAAACAATGAATTTTAAGTCTTTTTCTTTCTATCAAGATGTACATAGCATGCTTGTTTAGTTCTGAACTCATAGTTTAGCTTTGATCAGAGTTCTGAAATCCTTTGAAGTTGTCTTTCTTTATAGAACTGTTGTCATTATATATAAATTGTTCTCCTAGCTTTGTTCATTTCACTGTGCATCAGTTCATAGAATTTTTCCACGTTTCTTCCAAAACTGTTCATTTCATCATTTATGGCACAATAATATTCTACTACATTCATATAACTTTCCCTGAATAGGTGGGTACTCCCTTAGTTTCCAATTTTTTGCTACTATGAATATTTTTGTATATTTGAGTGGTTTTCTTTTTTCTTTGATTTCTTTGGGGTATAGGCCTGGAAATGTCATAGTTGGGTCAAGGGGTGTAGACAAGTTAGTTTCTTTGGGGCCATAGTTACAAATCACTTTCCAGAATGATTGGACCAAATCACAGTTCCACTAAGTATGCATCAGTTTTCTCTTAGCTTCTCCAACATTTGCCAATTTCCTCTTTTGAAATCTTTACCAATCTAATAAGTGTGAAGTGGAATGTCATCATTGTTTTAATTATCATTTTTCCTAAAAATTAGAAATTTAGAGCATTTTTCATATGGTCATTGCTAACTTGAATTTCTTCTTTTGAGAACTGCCTATTCGTATCCTTTGGCCATTTATCTATTGGAGAATGTCTCTTAGTCTTAAGTTTACATTAGTTCCTTATATATCTCAGATATGAGATGTTTATCAGAGAAGCTTGCTACAAAGTTTTTTTCCCAGTTATATATTTCCTTTCTAATCTTAAGTACATTAATCTTATTTGTTCAAAATTTTTTTCATTTTCTGTAATCAAAGGTGTTCATTTTATCTACTGTGATCTTCTCTATCCTTTGCTGATCATTAACTCTTTTCCTGTCCATAGAATTAAAATAGAATTTCTTCCTTGCCCATCTAATTTATTTATGTAACTTAGGGCTCAAACTTATTATTTGCATAAGGCTCTCCTCATTGGTAGATAGACTGATTTACTCCATGTTCCAAGCCTGCATGAGGAGTAGAGTTAGCAAGAGCTTGAGAGAGAAGAGAGCAGTCTTTTGGATTCAAGAGAGGAAACACACAGTTCCAGACTCTATTCAAGTCCCTAAAGGGAAAGAAAGACTCTGGGAAGAAGATGACACATAGAGAAGCAGGTACCTTGAAAAAGTCCCAATCCTCAGCTTGCCACACTAGATAGAGACTTGGGGAATTTCACCTTACATTGTGAACTAACTCTCCCTCTCTCTGTGAAATAGGTCACTCCCAGTGGGAGTACTCATTTATTCTATATTGCCTGGTATACTCTTATCTGTATAATATCTCTGCTTTTTTTTTGTTTGGATAAATGGATTTGGAAAATTATTCCTTTTACTTTACATCTTCTCTCCACCCCAACATTGGTCCAGTGACACTGCCCTTCTTGCTATTCCTCAAATAAGACACTCTATCTTACAGCTCCAAGTATTTTCACTGGCTAATTACTGCCTATTTATCCTATGTATAATTGGTTTGTACATAATTATTTGCATGTTGTCTACCCCATTAGACTGTGAGCTCCTTGAGGGCAGAAACTCTGTTTTGCCTTTCTTTGTATCCTTCACACTTAACACAATGCCTGGCACATAGATACTTATTGATTCACTCACTGACTGAATGACTTTGAATGACTGAAACAAAAGCTCATCTCTTATGTCAATAGTATTTCAACAGTCCTCTGTGGCTACAATCCACGGAATTCACAATTTCTGAAAAATCAAAATTGTTGTAAAAGGGCAATGGAAAGGTATTTAGTGGGTTCAATATGTTAATTTAATGCTTTAATGTACCTGCAGTCTCACTTATGCAGGCACTCCCTCCAATGATTCAGGTTGCAAACCATCCAAACTTCTTTATTCCGTATTAATCTTGTCCATGTAAATCCTCTACACAGGTTCCACCCAATGCGTTTAGGGCATCCTTCCTCCAAGTCTCTTGAAACTATCTGGGTACCAATGGAGCACGTGGTCTAGTTGTTTGTTATCCTTTGTTCTTGCTATGGGTCTAACTGTACTTTTCCATTCACAAATTTCCTTGATGCCTTCAGTTATGCTACTTTTTCACTGATAATACATTGCAGGTACCTGATTCCTATCATAGCTAGAGTCAAGGGTTTACATCCCTCCAGGCTGCAAAGCTGTCTCAGAGCAGTCACTAGGTCTACAGGGGTCAGATTTGCTCCAACTGGCTGGTTGCTCCAGTAGGGTGGTTTGCACCATCTGTCACTTTAGTGCTGAGGTCTCCGGAGTCACCTTCTGGGAGAACGGGACCTGCAGTCTGACAGCCTCCAGCCACATGAACCTTTTGTGTAGGGCACATCAGGCAGACAGAAAGGGCTAACGTGCCAATAATTAGGACAATTACCAAGACCAAGAGAAAACTTTTCCTGCTAAGAAAAGAAGCATCGGTTCCAAATTGAGATCTAGGAGAGAGTAAAGCAGAGGCCAAACTGGGACCAAGAACTCCAGTATCCAAGAGGCTGAGACAAAGGCCAAAAGCCTGGGGGCAGAACAGAGTTTCTCTGCACAGCAATCAGGAGTGCTAGGAAAAAATGATACAGCCTGCATGCATTCCCTGCCTCTGCCTTGCAGCGAGCCATGAGGGTAGTTACAAAGAGTGGGCTGAATTGCCTCTCAGAAATTGCTCATTGCTTTTAATGATTCCCAAGCTTCTCTCAGAAATAAAAACCCATCTTTTTAATGCCAATATTGTTCCAATGTCCTATTCATCCACAAATCATGGAATACTGCACTCTCTGAAAAACAAAATTATCACCCAACATAGAGGCTTTTTTTCTTTTAATGCAGAGAACAGACAAAAGGCCAAAAAGAAGCAGATAGGTAGGACAGTTTTGAAAGCTACAGGTTGAGTTTAGTATTTCTTTTTTCTTTTGTTAAGCAAGCTGTACATAATAGAGATTTGAAGTTTAACGTGTAATTCTCTTCAGGTCATAGTCTAGCTCTGCTCTGCCCTCTTCTGACTCAAGCACCTATGCCAGTCAAATATGGGTTCTGACAGTGTTTACTGCAAATTAGCATTACCTATGTACCTATGATCCTTAGAACCCCATAAACAGCCTTCTTCCTATTATTAGTCTAAGGGGGTAAAAATTTAGGTTCAAGCTGTGTTCCCGATCACTATCCCTTAAAGGGACAGCATGTGCTACTAAAAAGGAGTATTCCAAGATACATTATCCAAGGCTTGGTTCCCTTCCTACTACATGCTGTTTACACAAAGATGATATTTAACAAATAGTAAATAAACACATCCAAGCCAATAGCAAACAAATCAGAGAAGTATAAAATAAGAATATACCAGACAATACACAAAATGAATGACCTCTCCTATTGGGAACAAGATATTTCAGCTCAACCAAGAGAGAGAGAGAGAAAGAGAGAGAGAGAGAGAGTTCCAAGTCTCACCCAGGGAAATTCCCTGAAGTCTCTAGTGTGGTAAACTGGGGATAGAGACATGTTCGAAGCACTCACTTCTCCACAGCTTCTTCCTGGAGTCTCTCTCCCTTCAGAGACCTTTCCTTGAAGAGATTCTCTCTCTCTCTCTCTCTCTCTCTCTCTCTCTCTCTCTCTCTCTCTCTCTCTCTCTCTCTCTCTCTCTCTCTCTCTTTCTCTCTCTCCCCTGAAAAGCAAAAGACAAAATATCTTTCCTCTCCCAAGGTCTCACCAACTCTGCCCTTCATGCAACCATGGTTAAGTAATCATATAAGTAAGTAAGACTTTCCACCATTGAGGAAAGTCTTAAACAAATAGCCTAGAGCCCAGAGTTACAAACAAATAAATGAATGAATGGTATTGACATCATTTGAGTTCCAATAAAACTGCAATCATTTTTATATATCTAATCTTTCAGACTTTTTTTATCATTTGACTGTCTTTTCCATCAGGAGTGGGGAACCTGTGGCCTTGAGGCTACATGTGGCCCTCTAGGTCCTCAAGTGTGGTCCTTTGACTGAATCCAAACTTCACCCCTGTACCTAGTTAGTCTGAATTAGTGAAGTTTTATTTATTCTACCAAATTTTTATGTAGTATTTAGCCCATTACAAAAACATAAAATGTTTTACCAAGGGAACTGATAATGTGATAGGACAGGTAGGTTAATATGACACTGATATTGGCATTATATTAGCCCACACACTGCTCAGTTTGTAGTTATCTGAATTACCTATAGCCACTGAGGCTTTTGAGAATTCCTCAGGGTGCTTACAATCCCAGTAAAGGACATGCCAGTTTGGTCATTCTTCTGGTTCCAATTTGATGCCAGCTGCTAAGTAAGTGAATCCTGGTTTTTGCCAGAGAAAAATATTTGAGTGTCTCATCATAAACCATTTTTATGATCTCATCTGTAGTTGAGGAAAGAGAGGAGAAGGTCATCAAGGTGTATCAAAACAGATGAAATTTAGCGTAACTTCTAAGATTTTTAGCACAGCTTCTCAAATAGTTTTCAAAAATTAATGGTCCTACATTTGCATTGTGTGCAAGTCCTTTGAGGTCATACCCAATCTCCCTCCAGGCCATCTCTCCCACCTTTTATTGCTTCCCGTCCCATTAGGCTAAGGAAATATCAACATGGACTATCAGAGAATTTGTTGCACATTGCTCTGTGTATGAAGGATTCTACAAAGCATAAACGGGGTGGGGAGGGGGCTGGGTCTATTCTATGATAATACCAAATATAATTACAGTGCTCAGTCTTTTAAATTTTCTGTGGCTCTTCAAGATGACCCTTGAGTGGTAGGGCCAGTAGGTTGTTGCCTCTCCCTTTCCTGGGACTGGATGATACACTGTGATAAATCTTAGGCAAGTTGTTTAACCTTTCTGTTTTCTTATCTATAAAAACATAGGGGTTGGATTTGATCATCTCATAAGATTCTTTCTGGCTCTAAATGAATGAACCTAACACAATTTATCATTAAACATATACTAGATAGTATGCTGTAAAGAATGAAGTCAGACCACTTACTTTTCAGTGACCAGCCAGTCTCTCACATTTCTTTCCTAGTTCAGCAGATCTCAATAGAATTGCAGGAGGAGAGAGAAGTAAAGATTATTAGAGGGTGTTTTAAACATTCAGCATTTACCCTTTTCCCCCCACTATAACCTAGCCATATTGCCAATGTGGGAATTTGTTTTACTTGACAATGTGGGTGGTATAGTGGATAGAGTGCAGGGAGGTCCTGAGTCCAAATCCAGCCTCAGATTCTTCCTAGGTATTTGACCCTGGGCAAGTCACCTACCTTCTTTTTGCCTATTTCCTCAGCTATAAAATGGGAATAATAATAGCACCTACTTCCCTGGGTCATCAAAAGGATCAAGTGAAATAATATTAGCTTAGTGCTTGGCATGGTAGGCATTTAATAAAGTGCTTGTTTCTTCATTCAAATATACATATGTATAAATACATATACACATGTGTACATATATATTTGTCAAAAGGCTTTGTTGTTCTTTTTATTGGGAATGGGATGTAGATGGAAGGGAATGTACAGTTTGGTTAATTTTTTTTAATTAAATTTTTTTTAAAAAATCTTTAAACTACTATCCCATGCCATTTCTTTAACTCACCACACATGACATTTGAGAACATAAAAAATGATGCCTTTTCTTTTTTAAATAATATATAGAGTAATTTCACTGAAAAGGACTTCTAAGAGCTCCAGGCCCTCAAATTGGACCATGTAATCATAGCTAAAACTCAGAATAACTTCACCTGGGGCAAAACAGTTGATGGAAGGGTGACCCAGAGGAGAGTTCAGACATCCTGGTGGTTGTAACAAGACCCTGATGGTAATGGCTATGCTGTGCAGGCTAAGGGAGGACCCAGGGTCAGATGCAAAAGTGCCACTTACTGTGGAGGCATTAGGCTCATTAAATGTCATCTTCTGGGGCCAGACTCCTTTTGTCCCAAGCAAGTTATATCTCTTATGTAAACTTGAATGTATTTCTTGACATCTCTACTATCTTACATCTTATCTATAAAATAAAAATGATAACTCAAAATATTCCATAGGATAGATGTGACTAAATAACATAGTTCATAACATGAATAATGAATGTCTAGAAGTAGGACTGACAGTCTAAGACAAGGCTATCATTCCCAAAGGTCCTGTACCTCTCTCCCTGCTGGTGGCAGGTGGTCATCAGTTGTCACTGATGGTGATAAGGAAAATGTTGAGAAGCAAGTTTAAAAAAAAATTTTAATGGCAATTGGGGTTAAGTGAGTTGCCCAGGATCACACAGCTAGTAAGTGTTTGAGGCTGAATTTTAACTCAGCTCCTGACTCCAGGGCCAGTGCTCTATCCACTGCACCCCCTAGTAGCCCCAAGTTAGAAATTTTAAATGCTGCACTACATTTTAAAAAGTTGTATATAATATTTATGATCTCTTCCAAAGGGCAAAAGAGGTGACTGTGGCATTCCAAGGATAAAAGGTGACTGGGTATGTATCAACCTTCTTTATTATGATAACTTGCCCCTCAAAATGGTGAATACATCTCCTAATATTAAGATATTTGAAGTAGCTGTAGAACTGATATTGTGTCACATGAAAACATTCACACCATTCAAACCAACTCAATAAACCTTTATCAAATGCCTGCTATGTGTTTAATAAACAGAAGGTGGCCACCGGGTGATTCATTTCTTTGGCCACAGTGAGTCAAGAACAGAAGTAGAGGGATTATGGATGTCCTCATGTGCTGCCAACATGGCATATGCAGTGCAAAGTGTTTGGTGGTGAGGATACAAAGATGAGAAGCATCAGAATACCTGATTTCAAGGAGTTTACAATGTGGTAAAGAGAAGAAAATGTATAGAAATAACTGTTCTATAAATTAGAATGTAATTATGGTATAGAAGTCTGAGGGCTCAATGAAAGGGAGGGCGTTGTAATCATTCTTATCTAAAGCAGAGGTTCTTAATCATTTTTGTGTCTTGGGCCCCTTCTTGAAATAATATTTTTTAAAAATTGAAGGAAATGCTAATTTCTTATCTATAAAGGTTAGTAAAAATAATGATGTAATTTTTCGCTGTTCAAGTTTTCCAACCCCCTGAAATCTATCCATGGACCCCATGTTAAGAGCCCTTGACCTAGAGGAATCCAGGAATGTTGCATAAAGAAAAATATGTTCAAAGACATTTTGAAAAATTAATACTATGGCAGTAAAATTTCACTTCTCTGAAAAATTATGCAGTTATACTAATCCAAAAGACAGTTAATTTAAATGGCTGTAGTAGCTATTCTCATTTATAGTAGTTGATCCCTGCCTACATATATTGAAGAAGAGAAAAGGGGAGGAGGGGAGCTTCCCTTGACATTTTCTGTTTTCTATTTGAAGGGGGGAGGGAAGAGTGTGCAGTCAGTCACCTGAAGCCAAATACTGGGAAGGCTGGTATCAAACAGCAGGCAACTGATTAGCTGAGCAGATAATCAGGAAGGGAAGTAGAAGGAGGTTCCAATGTCTTTTGCCACTGGGGAAAGCATATGGAAACACCCATTTGAGTTCGGCTTGGAAATTGGATTGATTTTTAATTTTTAATATGAATTAAGGGACAGCTGGGTGGTGCTAGAGCACTGGCCTTGGAGTCAGAAGGATCTGAGTCCAAGTACAACCTCAGACCCTTACTAGCTGTGTGACCTTGGGCAAGTCACTTAACCCTGATTACCTCCAAAAAAAATTACCTCAAAAAAATGAATTAGAGAGCTAAGGCAACTCTCTAACACTGGTCATAAGTTGCAGAATGGCTACTAGTTTTCAATGCAGAGAAAGTTTCCTACTCCAATTCTGTTCCCAAGAAAAAAAGCAAAGTTATATTTTTGATCTTAGTTTTCCAAATCTTTATGTAATGATAGTTGTAAATACCTTCTTTTAAAATGGCATTTTATTTAAAGGATAACTATGCTCTATTGGGCAGCTAGGTGGCACAGTCTATAGAATGCTGAGCCTGGAGTCAGGAAAACTCATCTTCCTGAGTTCAAATCTGGCCTCAGACATTTACTAGCCATTTGACCACAGGCAAATCACTTAACTCTGCTTGCCTTAGTTTCTTCATCTGTAAAATGAGCTGGAGAAGGAAATGGCAAACCACTCCAGTATCTTTGCCAAGAAAAACCCAAATGTGGTCATGAAGAACAACTGAACAACAACTGCAATGCTCTTTGGCCTTCTAAAATTAAATGTGAGATTCTAAGAGAATTTTAAAAGTCTTGTTTGGGGGCAGCTAGGCAGCACAGTGGATAGAGCACCGGCCCTGGAGTCAGGAGGACCTGAGTTCAAATCCGGCCTCAGACACATAACACTATCTGTGTGACCCTGGGCAAGTCCCTTAACCCCATTGCCTAGCCAAAAAAAAAAAAAAAAAAAAAGATTTGTTTCCTTCCATAAGGCTTACAAATGTCTTAAGCATCTTGAGTTCACTTGCTTGAATGAGTGACATCACAGCAGCTGTCAATTACTGTGGCTGAGAACACAAAATCACTATCTCTTAGGTCTTTAACACCCTCCCCAAAAACTAATAAAGCTTATTTTTAAACATACTTAGATGTTTTAAATACAATAGAAGCCATCATAACACAACTAATTATTTAATGGTTTGGATAGAGCTCTTGTCAAGTCATGCCTCACAAAAAGTAGCTACATACTTAAAATAACACAGCTTGTGTATTTTTAGGGTAGGTTCTCCTCACTGCACCACCACACCCCCCTCACCTAGATTGGGAGTTCTTAATCCTTTTTCTGTCCTGGCCTCCTTGGGAAGTCTGGGGAAGTCTATAAATCCTTTCTCAGAATAATGTTCTTAAATGCAGAGAAAAAGGTGAGATTACAAAGGAAGCCAATTACATCAAAATATAACTATTAAAATGTTAAACCAAATTCATAGACAAGTTAAGAACCCTTGCCTTCAATTTTTTTTCACAAGCTATTTGCCTGATAACAGTTGTATTCTCTTTATTTGACCCATAGGGCTGAGAGGGTCCATTTGATCAAAAAGGACTACAGATAGAAAAGAAAACAAATATGTTTGCTTTTTTCTGATCATGAAGGGGAAAGGAAAGATTTGAGTAATAATAGCTTAAATTTGTATAATATTTTACAGTTTCTGAACACTTTCACATGTTGTCTGTCCTTTGGTCTTCTCAACAATCTGTGGGCAGGAACTCCATGAGAATAGCAGAGCAAGATGCAGAGCAATAGCTAATATTTTTCCTAATTATGAAATGCAAATGAACCAGCAGTCTAGAAATTTAAAACCCTATTGGGCACAAAAGCATTTGTCATACACCGCTTGCAATCAGCTCGCTCAGACCTATGCTACACACCAACAGCATATTATTGGATGAAATTTTGCTCAACTCAATTTACCTACATAATAGTCCAGATCTGAAATTTGGAAATATGGATTTCACTGCTCATACAGCATTGACAGTCCATAGCAAGCCAGGCCTATAGAATCATATGACCCACTAGAGACTTTGGAATCTAACTTGGGGGAGATTGGTCACCTTTCCTACAACCTTCCTGCCAGTCAAGAATAACAACAGTAATAAATTGTTAGCTGTGTATACCCACGAATAGTAACTAAAGCTCTTGTTTCATGTGCACTTCCTGAGTTAAAGAAGACTTGGGTTGAAATCTTGCCTTTGGCACTTATTAACTATGTGACAAGAGGGAGGTTATTTCTCCTCTCTGAGCCTCAGTTTCCCCCTCTGTAAAACATGGATGACTACCTCACAGGGCTGTTGGGAGTCTCAAATGAGACAATGTATGTAAATCACTTAACACACTTTGAAGCATGCTAAGTAATAAGTTTCAGTGGCTCCCTATCACCTTCAAAATCAAAAATAAAACCCTTTATTTAGACCTCCATAAGCGGGTGCCCTCTTAAATTTCCAGTTTCTCTTATACTTACCCACCATAGTTTTTCCTCAATTCAGGGACATTGACCTCTTTGCCATTCCTCAAACAAGATACTCCCAACTCCCAGCATTTTCGTTGGCTATCTTCACATACCTGGACTTTTCTCCCTCCTCATCTCTACCTCCTGGCTTTCCTGGCTTCCTTAAGTCCCAGCTAAAATCCTACCTTCTTCATAAAGGCTTTGCCCTTAATGCTAGTATCTTCCCTCTAATGATTATCTCCAATTTATCCTGTCTCTATCTTGTTTGTACATGGTTGCTTGCATATTGTCTCCCCCATTAGACTGTGAAGTCCTTGAGAGAAGGGTTGGTCTTTTTGGCTTTTCTTTTTATTTCCAGTGTATCGCCTACTGTGTGCACAGTGTCTGGCACATAGCAAGCACTTAATAAATTCTTGTTGACTGACATATACTAACAGAGGAAACACATAAGTAACTTAACCTCTAAGCACAGGCAACTCTGTAAAAACTTTAAGTTATAGACAATTGATCATCTGTGTTGATGGAAGGGCTTTTCTGCTATGAATAGCCTACACTGTCAAAATAATAGGTTGGGATGAAAATCTCCATTCTATATGGTTTCCCTCCATATGCTTCATCTCCTTTATTTTTCCTCTTTTTTAATAACTAATATTCAACAAGATAATTCTAGTTTAGCTATCTAAAAATTATGTGTAGATTTTTATTGAAGGTCTATAAAATGGATTAGATAATCTTCTCAAAAAACTGATTCACCTGCCTACATCTAGTTTTGACTATACCAAAATAGTGAGCCAGGTGATCTTTCAGACTATGTTTTCAATGATAAATTTTAAAGAAAATATATTTGTTTTGGGGGGGGTTTTGTGGTTTGTTTTTTGGGTTTTTTTTGGTTAATAGGGTTAAGTGACTTGCCCAGGGTCACACAGTTAGTAAGTATTATGTGTCGGAAACCAGATTTGAACTCAGGTCCTCCTGAATCCAGGGCTGGTACTCTATCCACTGCGCCACCTAGCTGCCCCAAGAAAATATATTTGAACATATAAATAAATGTATCTAACTAGATGGATCATGTACCATTAAAAATATTACCAGATTTAATGCAGTCTAATTACATTAGATTTAAAATACATTGGCTATTGAAGTCCAAGATACTTTTCAAACATTTCCTCAGTCACTCAGACTTAACATTGACAGACACGTTTCCTACCCCCCTAGGTGAAAAAATAATCCATCCCTGTGATCCTTTCCTATCATTTTAGCCTCAGATTTTTTCAAATGACTTCCTATGTATCAGTAAAGTAGAAAAAGATTTGGTGGTTATCAAAGTGAGCCATGAATTGCCCAAGGTCACACAGTAGTTAGTAAGAGAGCCGGGACTAGAGCCCAGGTTTCTCAACTCTATCAAAGTTTTATAATTCACCCTAGTAATTCTATTTTAATAAGTCATAAGAAGGTATGAATGTACAAAGAAATATCACCAAATTAAATGTTAAAAAACCGTTTCTTTGACAAAATTGCAAGATGTTTTTATTTTATTTTGCCAGGGATCTCAGGGACATCAAATTGTCCAAGGAGAAAGAGGTCCTCCAGAAAAAGAACTCCCTCAAAGAAAGGTAATAGGTTATTTTTAAAATAGTAAAGAGCTGGTTTGATTATTGATTAATATCTTTATCATTTGAGTAATAAGAGAGCTGGGATTCTGTATATATTTTGGAAATTTTAGGAGAACAATAGGATCGTGGCATCACAGATGCAGAGCTGGACAGAATTCTTATTTTTATTCAAGGGAAATAAAAGCCTTCCCATTCAGAGTTTCTTGTCTTCTATTATACAGATGCACAAGTAGATACATATAATAGAGCCATAACGCAGATGTGATATGCAAATACAAACTTCTCATTTTTGATTACTTTGGCTGCAAAATTATGTGCTTTGCCAGCTGTGCCTCTGCTGTGGCAGTGCTCATTAGGTACTAACAAAATTGTGCTTGGCAAAGTCATATTACTGGGTGAATGTCTTCCTCTGTTATGAGCCCTATAACTTTCCTATTCAGTTGTAAGACACTAAATACACTTGTTTAAAAAAGTAAACAAAGAATTTTTGATGCATGCCCACAACCTGTATAAGACAAAATTCCCAAAAGGCTGAGCTAGGTTGGAAATAAAAGCAATGTGCATAAGATATTCAAACGTTTCACTCCAACATTTACCATATCTCTGTAATTTATGACTCACAAGTAGCAAGGGGCATTTTATTTGGTAATTTCTATTTATATGAACCTTGATTTCATTAACACAAGGAACTTCTGATATAGAAATACCTTTTACTGGTGCAGACCAGCAATTCATCTGTACATAATGACCTTAGAAAGACATCTGTGACACCTGGAGGTTGAATGACTACCCAACATTCAAATAACTAGTATATGTCAAAGTCAAGATTTGAACCCAGGTCTTCAAGGCTGGCCTTCTAATCCAGTACACCTTGCTGCCTCTCACTTTTAATGTGTATATAGTCTAATACAGTTAGTATTCTTTATTCTATTCATCCTTTTTTTCATTCTAGTTCATGTTCACCAATGCTTCAGCTCACTAAGAAAACAACCTCGTATGAACGCATAGATGATCATATAATAGATCAGAAGTTCTTATCCTGGGATTCATGGACCAATGGGTCCATGGGCAGATTTCAGGTAGTCTGTGAACTTGAAAGGGAAAAAATTACATCATTACTTTCACTGACCTCTAGCTGAAATTTAGCATTTTGTTCCATGACTTACAGTAACAAAACAGTTGCCTATTCTTGACCAAATGAGTCCAAGACAAAAAAAAGAGATAGTTACCCCTGTCACAGATATAGAGCTGAAAGAGATTCTAGAGAACATCTCATTCAACCCCTTAATTTTACAGATAAGGAAACTAAGGCCCAGAGAGGTGTGATTTTGCCAAGGTCACACAGGTAGCAAATGGGAAACCTAGGATTTGAACCCAGATTCTATGATTCCAAATCCAACACTCTTGCCATTACCTCCATAGTAGTTTGTAAAGAAATTCATAAAGTAATTTAGCTATGTCTACCTTTTTGTCACTGTTGTTCAGTCGTTTCCAATTCTTCATGACCCCATTTGGGGTTTTCTTGACAAAGATATTGGAGTGGTTTGCCATTTCCTTCTCCAGCTCATTTTACAGATAAGGAAACTGATGGAAACAAGGTCAAGTGACTAAGGCCAGATTTGAACTCAGGAAGATGAGTCATCCTGACTCCAGGCACAGCACTCTATCCACTGCCAAGGCAGAAATTGAATAGTTACTGACATTTTCAGTCAAGATCATTGTATGTTTTGGGGAATGGGAGAAATTTCCTGAATGACAGGTCCCAAATCTAAAAGGAAACTTCATTAAAGAAAGGATCTGAATGAAATCAGCCTCAAGAAAGTTCATAATTCTTACTTTCATCATTCTTAGAATCCATTGCCAAGATATGTTAGCACTAAGGTTTGCTAACATCATGTACCCTAGTAGCTAAATTTGTTCATCTAATTTATGTTTAAATCTAATTTATTAAAAAGGCTTGTGCTGATAAAAACATAAACCAACATCTATAGCTTGAAATGCCAATTGATTTGCTATAATGAGATATAAAAACTACTTTGTAGTCTGCATAAAAGCAAATATATTCCTGTTGCATAATAGAAACATTTGTTTCCACTATGAGATGCCATCCTGGGCTTCTTATGAAGTTCCACAGAGAACCAGGAAGTCCTGGTTAGATTATATCTGACTCACAATGGTGGCCTTGGAAGTTGCATCTGACAGATCACCAGGTTCTAAAACAGTCCTCTTTTTCATACAGAACTGAATGGTGCCCATATTTGTGGTTACCCATGACTCAATGACAAGGCTATTTTGGTCCATTAAAGTTTTTGATCCATTTAAGTCAGAGAATTAATGGATGGCAGTCTCTTTATTCACAGCAGAAGAGCAGATTCACCACTAATCTCAGGATCTCTTCTCCATTGGTTAGGCAATGGCTCATCTTTAACCACTTGGCTCTTTGCAACAACCTATAGGTCATATTTAAATGAGGATATGCAATTAGAAAAGTGTTTTACAACTCTTGAGTTGGCCAGCATCATGGACTGCTTGAAGGAATACTAGCAAGGTCTTTGTTCCACATAAATTATCAATATTTTGGATCATATCAAACCAAGGATGATTTATATATACATATATGTATATGTACATATACATATACATACATATTATATATATATAAAATAAAGGACCTTAAATAAAGCAACCATACTTGGCACCTATTCTGCTCTTAGATGCCCCAGAGAAGAGTTACTCCATGAGTTAGGAAATCCAGGAAATAAGCCATGTCTAAATTTTGTACCTGTTGCAGGAATTTTCTTTTTTGGGCTCCACTCTTACCTCAATGTCAATCACCCCTGAAGCTAATAACTCTCTAACACTTGGGACTGGACCTGAGTACTGTGTTTTACAGTAGCTTAAACCAGTGAGATTTCTTTAAAGAGTAGCTTCTAGATCCTTGCACAGAAACCCTGTTGTCTCCTCTAACTACCAACCTATTTCTTCAACTCTTTTCTCAGACCAACTTCATAAATAAGTGTTCTATGCTCAACATCCCACTTCCTCACCAAACACTTTTATGCTTAACTAATTTCTTTTGGAACCCTACCACTCTACTGAAACTATACTCTCAAAAATCACAAATGGCTTCCCAATCAACAAATTCAATGATCCTTTCCCAGTCTTCATCGACCTGTATACAGCATTTGACACTATTGATCAAAGTCTTCCAATTTGAGACATATTCCACCTTTGACTTCTGTGGCATTGTACTCTTCTGGATCAATTCAGTTCAAAATGCATTTGAAGGAAGTTGATCAGGGTGGGACCAGGAATTCGAGGTCTAGAAATTCTCCTCTGAAACCACATAGAGGAGAGCACATGCAATTTTTATATCTCTACTACACTCTGATCTGTCCTCAGAAAAAAAAAGGTCAAACCTTCAATTAAAGGCTCCCTTTTATAGTCCAGCACAAATTATCTGACTTCTAATCAAGTGTTTTTTCTATCACACTATGTTGCATCTTTACAACAGTAGGCATGCAATAAATATTAGTTGCATCAATGAATGAATAAATGAAACTATTTTAAGCCAAAATCCACTCCCTACAGCCACTGTATGCCCCTACCAAGAACACAACATATGAATCCCTATAAATCCCTTTCTATTGGTCTCTTTTCCTCCAAATGGAGTGAATTTGTAGGCACGTAAAGACATCTCTGCATACACTCATACAGAAAAGAGATGATTGTTTTCCATGGAAAACCAGGAGGACTTTCCCACAAACATTTTCCCCTTCAGAGAATGGAAAGTTGGGCTACATGCAACATTAATGAAAATTAGGATAAACATGAGGAAGCTGTTCAGCCAGGAAGAAAGTATCTTTCTCTCATTGACTTGAGCTGGAAAATTTGAAATCAAGAGAAAACCATTCATGTCATTGCCATCATTTCTTCCTTCAATATGTATCATTTGTGGTCCAGAAGCTTTAGTGACTCTGCTGAGCCAAAAACAGGGCTGCGGGTTACTATTGTTAAATAAATGTGACTTGGTCATGCAGGGAGACGCCAGCTTTGACGGGTTGAAAGGACCTCATGGGCAGCCAGGGATTGGCATGAAGGAGGGGAAAGGTGGGTTATAAATCCATCAGTTCCCTAACAAAGTATAAGTGATTTTATATACTGTCAAGATCAATTTGGCCTTACAAAAGATGCACTGAGGCAAAATTTATTTGGGGTTTACAATAGCAACCAAAAAGGTCTGTGTTTTATGGATGGATTTATGACCAATAAGATGTCCAAACCCATTCTGTTGCCTCTTCGTAGGAAAACATGCGTTGAAACTAAAAGTGATTGATTCTGTTGGGAAAATTCTGAGTTCTGAAGTGAAAGGAGATCAAAGCAATCTGTTGGAGTGGCCATGTTTGTGTGTCTTAGACGAAGAACCAGGTTCTGAGATAAAATATGTAAAGGGCTTAGCACAGTACCTGTCATATAGTAGTCTCTCTATAAACGCTTATTCCCTTCCTTTCTCATAAGGGACTTTTCTTCTGTCAGAGGGGCTAAATAATAGTTATATCTGCTCTTGCAGAGTGAAGTTGGACCCCAACATCCACCTTCCAGCTTTCCTGATGCTGGGATCCACAGAGAGAAGGTACTGCTCTCCTCTCATTGTCTACAGCTTCTTCTCATTGAGGGAAAGGGGAGAGAAGAAAGAACATTCACCTTTTAAAAAATTAATTCATTTAAAAATTGTTAGAGGTAGTAGGACAAAAAGATCCACCTGACTCCCTGGATGTTATGGGGCAAAGGCTCCCAGCCCTGTAAAGATAGAGATTGTCTACTACCACAGTTGGTCCCAACTTGAATATGTAAATTACTTTTTATAAGGTTACTCTCAACACTGAAATAGGTTAGTTCGTATGATAGAAACATGGCCACTATACATGTTTGAATGTAGCATATAGAAGGTAGAACAAATACCACTGCCACCTACCAGGCTATGGCCAAGTTTCTACATTTTTAGCACCACCCAAGCACCCAGAATAGCTTCATACCCCCAACAAGAGATTCATTTTGATGGGATCATAGATGAAGAGCTGGAAAGAACTTCAGAGACCACCTAGCAAAATTCCTTCATTTTTTAATAGAGGAAACTTCAGCCAGGGAAAGGTAAGAAGGTCCCACAGTTAATATGCTTCAGCTTCATACCCTCAGCCACCTCTCTGCAGTCTTCCATCCCCTACAGACCCTCTAAGTCAGCAAATCTGACCTCTGTCATCAACTTCTTCCTATTACAGGAGCTTTAAAGGAAGAATTGTACGTAGACACAGTATTACATCAGTACATATAAGAGCAGCAAAACAAAGTATATGAGATCTAACAGGAAAGGTCACTTTTTCACTCCTTCTTGGAATGGGTGGATGAGAACAATTTGTTCCAACAGCCATGAAGGCAATTGAAGCAGGTGCTGTGGACCACTTAGAGCTTGGTCAGACATTGAAGACACCGAGATCACCCACTGCATCCCAGGCCATTGCCAGTCATCTTGAATTTTGTCCTGCCACTGGACTTCAATGACTCTGGAAGAGAGAGTGAGGCTGATGGACTTTGTGCAACTCTGCCTCACTTAAATCCAATTCACACACAAGTCAAGACACCACCTATGATGTCATTGATCCTCTTCAAAACTGAACAACACTGTGGTATAGGAGATAGAGTGTTAGGATTGGAGTCAGGAAGAACTGAGTTCAAATCCTACTTCTGTCATGAGCTGTGTAACCCTCAGCAAGTAACTCAATCTCTCTGTTCCTCAAGCAACTTCTTCCAGGATCATAGATTTAGATCTAGAAAGAATTTTAAGATGTATTCTAGTCCATATGCTTCATTTTACAATAAGGAAACTAAGGTGATTTGACCAAAGTCAGATAGGTAGCCAGTGGCAAAGCTAAGGCTCATCTGCTAATCCATAGATATGTTGAATCTGCCTGGTGGAGGGAGTTCTCATACTGAGAATTACCCCACAAGGAGAAAATCACAGCTCCTTTGTAGATTCTCATAATTCGCCATAGCAGCATGCAGAAGGGAGAGCAACTTACCTTCCAGAGTAAGAAGGGGAAGAATTCTTCCCCCTCCTCCAATTTTTTTCATCCATTATTCCTAGGAGTCATGGAGAGGAAAATACCACTAGGAAATATGAGGTGCACCCACAACTGCTTGAATAAGCAAAAATAGTTGTGTAGAATTACCAGCTGGAGGCCTAACTCTGTTCTAGATCATCCCTGCTTTCATTAGTGCATGGGCCCAGGGTGAGGATAGCCATTTCAGGACATAGATGAAGGCATTATTTTCTCACTCATAAAGGAATGAAGAGATGCCAAGCATCTCCCGCTATATTTTATACAGGCAAAGAAGCCCAGAGGGTCACTGAGTACCAGCTGAGTCCCTAACATGACAGTTAATCCAGCTCACAAGCTTGCTAGGAGATGAGCCAGATTAGAAATATTCAAAGTATATCTAAAAAGAAAGCAACGATTTTTTACAGCTTGTAGGTTTGTTTTGGGTTTTGTGTAGCAATTTTTCCTCTCTTAATGCATTTTCACATGCTTCATTGCAGCTTTCCAACTGTATTGGAAGGTATTAGATAGATACCAAATTATCTTCGTTCCTGCTCAGTTTTTTCTTTTAAAAAAAAACTGTTCATTCTCATTAGGAAATTTCTAGTCAGAAATCCAACATAATGTTATTAGGCTTGCTTTGTGACTCCTTTAGGGAAGGGAGCTACCTGGTAAATATATATCATTGTTATCCTCATGTCTAAATGATTAACTATTATAGTCTTAAGAAATTTTCAGTATCACCAATTTCACTTGTTCTCTATTAAAGCCAGGGGCACAAATTCTGTCCTTAAACACATCTTGGTTTGTTAATGAAGTTGTACCCAGGTGACTGCAGGAAAAAAAAACTACTAGAATTATTCCTATTTCCTAACCCTGTGTAGATGTCACCTACTTTATGCCAGTAATTTTACATTTTATTTGTTATTCACTTCCCCTGGACCACCTTTTGAAAGACCCAAATCCAAATTCCAGCCATCATGAACCTGACTGGATGGTCAGGGCTGGTCACTGAGGTAGGCAGTCCCCAAGGTCCAGGCAGGTTTGATGTTCCATGCCAGAGGCACATAAGGGCCTGGAGAGAAGATAGATGTGAGAGATGCAGTGAGGGTAAGATCAACGATTCTCAGAAATGGATAAGATATAGGGACTGGGGAGTGAGGGAAAAGGAAGAGTCATGGATCCTTACTTGCATCTAGCTCTCAGAAACTTGACCTCTGGTGCTGGCTTAGATACCCAGAGGTGAAGGCCCTTATGTGCCTCTGGCACAGAACATCAAACCTGCCCGGATCTTGGGGACTGCCTACTTCAGTGACCAGCCCTGATCATCCAGTCAGGTTTATGATGGCTGGAATTTGGATTTGGATCTTTCAAAAGGTGGTCCAGGGGAAGTGAATAACAAATAAAATGTAAAATTACTGGCCTAAAGTAGGTGACATCTACACATCTTTGTTCAGGACTTCATCACCTTCCAAGTAGACTATTGCAATAATCTCCTCATTTGTCTCCTTGCTTCTAGTCTTTGTTTCTCAATTTTTTTAAGGTGTTATTTTCTTCAGCATTTTTTGGGGTCTCCTTTAGCAAGCTGTTGACTTGTTTTTCATGATTTTCTTGCATCACTCTCAGTTTTTCCTTTACTTCTCTTACTTGCTTCTCAAAATCCCTTTTGAGCTCTTCCAAGGCCTGGGACTGATTCACATTTTTCTTGGAGGCTTTGGATGTAGGAACTTTGGCTTTGTTGTCTTCTTCTGGTTGTATGTTTTGATCTTCTTTGTCACCAAACTAAGATAATATAGTCTGACTCTTTTTGCGCTGCTTACTCATGATCTCAGCCAATTACTTGAGTTTTAAACTCTTTGTTAAGGTAAAAGTCTGCTTCCAATGTGAAGAGTGTACTGTCCCAAGCTTCAGGGGTTTGTACAGTTGTTTTCAGAGGTACTTCTAGGGACCTGAAAATTTTCAGTTCTTCCAAGGTGGTATGATAAGGGGCGAGGTGTTTCCTCTCTACCACCACCACAAGCTTCACCACACCAGCACTCCTCCTCGCTCCAGGACTGCCCCTCAGAACTGTGACCCAGATCCAAGCACCAGTAAAGCACTGGCAAAGAGATCCCTGCAATCCCCCTCTGATCAGCCACTCGATTTCCCCTCAGTCTGTGGGCCACAAGCTCAGGAAAAAGCCGCGGCCCTGGGCTGTGCTCAAGACTTGCGGCTGAGACCTAGCTGCTCTCTCACCACAGTCACAGACTTTTCCCACTGACCTTCTAAGTTGTCTTTGGTGTTCGTGGGTTGAGAAGTCTGGAAACCGCCGCAGCTGCCCGTGATTCAGTCCTCTGAGGCCCGCTCCAGGGTCGCTGAGGCCTGCGCGCCCACACCGAACTGCCCTCCTCTCCCCACCCAGTGCGATATACTTTTCTGATCAACCATCCAGGCTGTCTTTGGCTGGAAATTTGTTTCACTCTGCCTTTTTGTGGGTTCTGCTGCTTCAGAATTTGTTTAGAGCCATTTTTTTAGGTATTTGGAGGGCTTTGGGAGAGAGCACAAGACAGTTGCTGCTTTCCCTCCGCCATCTTGGCTCTAGTCTTTGTTTCTCCAATCTCTCCTCCCCACAAAGCTGCCAAAGACATCATTTCTAGCTCTAGAATCTTCATGACTCCCTATTGTCTCTAGGATAAAAGATAAACTCAGCTTGGCATTTAATGCTTTTCACAGTCTGGTTCCAGGTTTATTTCACCTTCCTTCCCTTTGTGTACTCTCCATTCCAGCCAAACTTGCTTCATTGCTCCTTTCAGAACTTGACATTCTATTTCCCCCCTCCAGACCTTTGCATAGGCTGTTCTACATGCCTAGAATGCACTCCCTCCTCACCTCTGCCTGTTAGAATTCTTTGTTTCTTTCAAGGTCCAACTCAGGTACCATGCCTCCTCAACCAATCAGTTAATAAGTATTTATTAAGCATTTACTATGTGTCAGGCATGGTGCTAGGCACTGGGAACACAAAGAAAAAGCAGAAGTAGTCACTGTCCCTGAGGAACCTGCTTTCTAATGGAAAAGATAATGTGAGCATATAAAAGTATAAACAAGATAAACATAAAGTAAGTACAAGGTTACATTAGGGGAGAAGGCATTGGCAGCCCAAAGAACCTGGAAAGACTTTCTGCAAGAAGGTGACATTTGAACTGTGCCTTAAAAGAAGGTAGAGGGGCAGCTAGGTGGACATTGGATAGAGCACCAGCCCTGGAGTCAGGAGCACCTGAGTTCAAATCTGGACTCAGTAACTATGTAACCTTGGACAAGTCACTTAACCCTGATTGCCTCCAAGAAAAAGAAAGAAAGGAGAAATGAGGCAGAAGATGTAGAAGTGAAGAGGGAGGGCATTCCAGGCATGGAGGATAACAGCTAATACAAAAACATGGAGGTGGACAATGGAATGGTGTGTGGGGAGAACCGCAAATAGGCCGGTGTTGCTGGGCTAGAGAATGCATAGAAGGGAATGACATTTAAGAAGAATGGAAAGATAAGGAAGGAACAATTTGTG